GAACAACGATACTCATTTGAAATATTACATATTTGCCTCATTATTTATTATTTAATTAAAAATAAAAAAATAAAATAAAAGAAACTGCGCACGTTAACTTAAATTGTCCAATTCAATACACAATGTAGAAAATTATTTTCACCGTAGAAAAAAATTGTAGAGAAAAAAAAAATAACAAAGATACACGTGTTCTGTATAATATAGATTCAAAAAAAGATATAATCGTATATATATATATATATCCATGACCGGTAAAAGCATATTTTCATAACAATATATCGTATCGAATGGTTTGGTGGTGGTCTCTTTCTTTAAGATATCAGCTGCCGTAGGTTATACAGTGCTTCGTTTGTTCGAAATATTTTTTGATGACTTCGAAAGTGAATAACGTGGGGATATGAGGGGAATAGAAGGGAGAGGAAAAGGGGGACTTATATTCGCGAGTATGTAAACGGAATCGTCTCACGTTGCTTGTTAGACGATACCTATATAACTTTATCACTTTACATATAAAACGTAGTACTACGTATACATATATATATGAATATATGTGCGTATGTAATATGTGTGTGTATAAGCTTTTATTTAGATAGTGCGTAAGAAAAAAAGAAAAAAGAAGAAACAGAAATCGATTGATAGATAACTTATCAAAAATTAGATTATTATATGAATTATAAGATAAAATTTTGTTTCTTTTCTATGTGTGTGAGAGAGAGAGAGAGAGAGAGAGAGAGAGAGAGAAAACTATATTTAACTATATTTTTATTTGTAAAAAAATCACTAGAATGTTTTACAGAATATTAGTGAAAATTGTTTGTACAAATCAGTTAATAAAATTCATTGTTTTTGTTTGTTTGTTTTTTTTGTTTTGTTTTTTATTATACAATAAAATTGCATAAAAAATATGCAAAGTATGTTGAAGAAATAATTCAAAATATTCAAAATATGTTCAACATATGAACATTTTTGTATAATTTATTATTATATTATTCATTTGGAAAGTGACATAAACAAAAATCAATAAAAGAAATTTGATCAATTATCATAGATGTGACAATGAGTCAGTTGAACAATGGATTTTGAAACGAATTAATTACGTCGAATTTATACTCTGATCTTTTCAACTATAATATTCTTTCTTTTTTTTTTTTTTTTTTTATTAATTAATAATTATTTAAAATATATCGAACACTTGAAAACCTTGTTCGTTAAATAGAAATTATTTTGACCGGAAAAGAATATTTTTTTTCTACATTAAGTTTCAATTTTATCTCAATTCACCAATATAACATAATAAATAATAAATTAACATAAATTCTATATAATAAAATATAAAAATTCTTATGTTATTAATTATTTTAGAATTACGTAGTATTTTCCATCTTCTTTTTTTTGTATCTCTTTCTTCTATTTTTCTCTTTATTTAAATTATATCTATAAAGATTATTATACCGAGGAAATAATTTAATATAACCAAAACTCATTATATTCAAATTTCTGATAAATTTAGATAAAATTGTTAATCATTGAAGTAGGAAATGAAAAATGACACATTGTAACGTTCGTTCTTACGTAATCAAGGTCTTTGTGTGTATGTGTGTGTGTGTGTGTGTGTGTGTGTGATATTTATGCTTGCTTTACGTTCTTGTGTGTGTTACGACATAGTAATAAAAAAAAAAAAAAGAAAAAATACAAAATAAAAAATCATGTTGAAAACGATTATTAGACGTTTTACTTATATACTTACTTAAGTACTACGTAAGTAGTATTTGTGGAAAGTATAATAATCTATTCATTAGTGTGTGTGTGTGTGTGTGTGTGTCAATGTGTGTGTGTATGCGTATCCTTGAGTACGTTGAAAATACATACAAGAAGAAACCACAAATTTCTGAGATCTTTGTTAACTATGTGGAATTAATAGTGTCTTTACCACATGTGTGTACAAAATTTCTAAGAATTTTCATACTTCTCTTCCTTCAATCTCTCTCTCTCTCTCTTTCTTAATATACTCTTACGTAAAAGAGTTAGAAACGATCTAGCTAGCTATCTAACTATCGTTCGTTCGTTCGTTCGTTCGTTCGTTCATATAATTTTCTTAAATACATGTAGGTATATATTACAGACATACGTAATTGTAGAAAATAATTTGATAGATTAAATGACACAGTATTTTATTTCATTCGTGTTACCTTGAATACGTTACTACAACAATTAGTTTTATTAATTTATATTAGAAAAAAAAGAACACCTTAAATGTCAGCCATTTTGGTTCTTTATTTTATTTGATTTTGTCGTATTTTAATAACATTTTCAATGCAGTGTTATTTTATTTTCTTTTTTTTTCCGCATTTAAAACAAATATTTTCTATTATTTTTTTAATATCATTTGTATAATTTATGTCGTATAATTAGTAAAAGTGTTGTAAAACTAATTGTTGATAATTATTATAATATTGTCATTGATAAGAATAACCAGAAATGTTAAAGCTTACCATTTCGTTCCGTTTCATCGTTCAGTAGCTGATAACTCGTTCAACTTTTTTGTTAAAATATTATTAAAAGATTAATATTCTCGATTAATTGAATTTTTACTAGATTAATGCACAAATCAAATGTCACTTTTGAATAAACTGTGTGAAGAATAAAATTAAAGCGTGAAATTATGTATAACAAGACACGACGCACTATCTAGCGGAACTTTTGATAATCATTTAGTATCGATCTAGTTATTTCGATATTTCGATTATATGAGATATTATTCATATGTCGATAATGCAGTAAATTATATTTTCTATCCTCGAATCTTTTACATTTCCAATTCGTACAACGTTTCTCTTGCAATATTATATTTAAATAAATAAATTATGAAAAAATATTCAATTAAAATGTGTAATAAACAATATTAAAAATATATCCAAATATCGATACTGATAAACAACCAATCAGGTTTAACCTAGTGAAATGTAATTGGTGAATCATAGAAATCAATACTATGGGTGCCATCTAGTGACAAAAATAATAAACACATGTCGGTAAACGTGTACAGTATTGTAAAAGTTCATTTTGATAAATGTTTCTCTCTATTGTGGCTTGTAGATAGTCTTGTGGGTTATGTGGTTATGGTGTACCGGTTGCAACGTCGACGCCATTTTAAGGAGTGTAGTGACTAAAGATGCAGTTGCGCCTGTGTTCTTTTTTTAATTAATCTAAGCGAGATAATTAAATTTAATTGCATTGTTGTGTAATATTAAACAAAATGACGCAATTTTTACCACCAAATTTACTCGCATTATTTGCACCCCGCGAACCAATACCTTATTTGCCACCGGCTAGCAAGCTCCCACACGAAAAGAAGAATGGAGGATATATTGGCGTTGGAACATTTCTTAAATATTTTGAGGTAAATTATTATTTTCCTTCTTTCATACATGTGACTTTAATATTTTTCACGTATGTTTTTCTTTCTTTCTCTTTTTATCCGTCAAACGCATATTGTTTTTAATTAGATCTTTTAAACGTAAAAAAAAAAAAAAAAATAGCATACATATTTTAGAACTTTCTTGAATGCGTGCATAGTTTTCAAATGCGCTTTGAAACGAATGCACATATGTGTATGATGAGTGATCTTTTTTCTTGTTTTCATTTTTAGTGCATTATGTAAGGAACTATTGGATGCATTTCAAATTTTAATAGCCATCTAGAATGTGCATTATGTATTAAGTAGTAAGACAATATGTCAATGAATTCTTTGTTCATGCAAATATTATATATTTTTCTAATTTATCAATTTAATAAATTTGATAAAAGGATCCCAAGGATACTCCACCACCTGTACGTGTGGAAACTCGAGAGGAAAGATTGGAACGTCGAAGAAGAGAACGTGCTGAACAAGTTGCTTATAAATTAGAACAAGAAATTGCTGTTTGGGATCCTGCTGGTATACCCAATGTGACTGCAGATCCTTTTAAAACCTTATTTGTAGCAAGAATAGTACGTATTTATTTCAATAGTTTCATCATCGAATATTATTGAATAAAACATTTGTTGAATTAAGTGTGTTAGATATGTTTTAACATAAACATATTTTTTTTTAGAATTATGATACTTCGGAATCCAAACTTAGGAGGGAGTTCGAAGTCTATGGACCGGTAAAAAAGGTATAATCAAATATAACATATGTAAAAATATGTAAAATATGCATGTCAGTTGATGTATTGACTTGTAAATTTAATTGATATTTATTTTCTATATATTGTTAATTATTTGTAGATTGTGGTAATTCATAATACAATAAATGGCAAACCTAGAGGATATGCCTTCATTGAGTATGAGCACGAAAGAGACATGCACTGTAAGTATCAGCCCAGAAATATAATATTTTCTTAAAAGCCTCCGTGAGTCCATAGTATGGAATCTCACATTTCTTAGTATCACTTCCAGCTAGATATAGTGGGGCAGGGCTATAGTTAGGCTACCCATTTTCATTGGTACTTAACCAGAAGGTTGTGTGTGGGGGGTCCCACGATACATCCATGCAGGAATACCATTTTCTAAATACATAAAAATGTGGTAAACGATTGAAATGAAAAAGAGATTATTGGCTGTCTTGATTAATGCAGTTTTTATCTTGTTCTTGGTACAGCGTGGTGGCCGCTGCCGGCAACTAGTGCCGTTCACTATTCCATGCAAAATCCCTGAACCTGCCTGATATGATAGGTTTGTATGTGTGGTAAGATCCAACATACAACAAAGTTTGTTAGCATCTATGCTTACCCTATATTTCTCTTCAGCGGTTTGTTTAATTAAAATCTCAATTTGATTGAATTTTTATCTAAATCGATTGAGAGCTCAATATTGGCCGCATTCTTAAAGTGTTCGCAGAAAGCAGGTGTCTATCTTGTTTGTTTGACAAATTTATTTATGGTTTGTGGTTTTATTTTCAAAAGAGTACGCGTAAAGTTAGCATTCTACATTGAAATTGATGATTGGTGGGCTTGCTTCTAGGGAAAAGGTTCAGGGACACGGGCGGTGAACAGTCACGTTAGTGTTATTATTATATTAATTAATTATTATTACACATACATACATACATATTTTGGTCTCTWCGTCGACTAGACATTTACTTGTTACATTCGTATGAAATTCTATAACGCGTTTTCAAACTCAAATATACTTAAATTTTAGGAGTCATTCAAATTAGTCCATTATCGTTATTAGACAACGCGTTTATAACATTTAATCAAATTAATTATCATTATGCACATAATCATAGGTGTGTCATTAATTGAAAAAGTAAAAATGTTAATGATTTTATTTAAATGTTCGATATTAAGCAAGGGTAGAGCATCATAGAGATCCTCTGCGAGAAAAGCAGTTTTCAAATTTTTAATAAGTTTAGTAAAAGATTCATAATGCAGATTAGTGGACTATTGTTATTATTATTATTATTGTTATTATTTATATGATTATTATTATTCTTACTGTAATTATAATTATCTTTATTATTATTATTATTATTATTATTATTATTATTATTATTATTATTATTATTATTATAATTATTA